TTTATTGCATCACACATACCAGTGCTGTAAGAGTAGATAGAATTTTAATGGAATATAATTTATGGCTATTTTACATTGAAAATAACCGCTGTCGCGCGATATCGTTTCCTTCGATAACACATAATCGGCATTCCTACCTCTATATGATTAATTTTAATGAGATGCCGACATAAAAGTACGCTTTCAATTTCAAGCGGTATTTGACAATTTTAGATATATCTAACAAGGATCCTTGTCGCGTTTAATTAATTATAAAAATTTAATTTGAGATTCAAACGTAATTTACGAAATCATTCATAAATCGACGCGATAATTATCGCGTCGCGCCAGGCGCGCGTCGAGATGCCTCGATATTACGTGAGCCCGTAACCCGGGCTTTACGTAATTGCGACGAGCGTGATAGCTCGCGGTCAGCGTAGGTTCGTCAATAACTTGGATGCTATTAACATTCCTGTCCCGCCGAGTTAAGTCAGGTTAGTTACCAGGTTAACCTTACAAAACTGTTCGGGTCAGTCTTGAACAAGCCTGTAGGTCGGTAAGTATGTGGAAAGACCTCTCACGGCCTCCGGGCGATGAAGCCGCCCATGAATTTCGGCTAATGAGAACATTTGGAGATACGTCAGTTCCAGTATGCTAATGGCCATACAGATGCCGATACAATTTCAAGATGAATCTGTCTCCATCCTTCTTCCTCTTCCTCTCTCTCGTTTGCTCGATGTACCCCCGGTATCCCCACGCATCCGTTCCATCCACCTCTCTACGCTGGCCGAACCGTTCCTATATTATAGCTGTCCACTGTATATCTCTACTTTAGCTATATCTTTCGTAGGGACAACGCAACGGCTCGATGCGTATATCCTTATGCAAATAAATGTATATTCTCTCTAATTAAACGCGGCCGGTCGCTAAGAAACTGTCGCACGTGCAATGAAGTCTTTCAGCTGCAACGAGTGATCGATAGTACCTCCATTTCTGACATTCGCCTTGGCACCTTGAAATGTTGGGCAGGATGTCATTACGCGCAGAGAAACCGAAACAATGCAGACATCTAAGCATCTTTGTTTTATGTAAAGATTGAGATAAATAAGGAAAATATATAATATTCTCTTATGCGTTCTCTCTCGAAGGCATATAGAAAAAAAATTATCACGGATTAAGATAATATCATTGTACAATATTTTATAATGTATATAGATTTCAATTGCAAAATTGTTGAAATGATTAATTTAAGAGGCATTAAGATATTAAAATTTAAATGTTTCTCATTTAAATTTGATTAAATCATTAAAGTCTTGTGTGTAGCTTTTAATTTTGTTAACTAATAATTTAAAAGAATCGCCAAGATTGAGTAAATTTTTATTGCGACAAGCAATAAATACATGTTTATAAAGTCGTAAATCAAGTCGATATTGGTTTTTTATATTGATTTATGAAAGAAATTAAATTTAAAAGTTAATGTGATTTCTTATTTGTGACGAAATTTATGCAAGTTAGCGGCAGAGAATATAACCGCAAGAGAAGCTAAAGATTATTAGTATTAAATTACTAAAGATTATTAGTAAAGATTCGAAAGTGTGAACGTGGAATTTTATTTAGATTGCATCTGGTCACGGTAATTCTCGGCCAGGATTCTTTCCGGTTTTGGGGAAAGTATGCTGCTATAAAAAATAAAATGGGAAGAAGAACCGCGCCATTCTTGCAAACTGCACACTGAGTGATTCTTTTAGAGGACCTTCATATTTTGAAGAAGAGACGTAATATTATAAGTTTCTCTTCTCTCGCTTTTAAAAGAAAATGTGCTGGCGGGGAGTATGTTGCGTAAAAAAAATAACAAGCACACGGTCGTAAATTACATCCAATTCTAGATCGTAAAACCGGATGTTATACCATTTTGACGATACCGATTGCCGGCGAATAGTATTCTTACAAATTATAATTTATCGTATGTGTGTCCATACAATGTGATCTTAAAGATTCTTAAGTTGGGGTATTATATCCTCTGAAATGGGATATGCAATGATTGTTTGCTTCTGAAGCAGTTATTATGTGATTGTTCAGTTGAAGTTTTATATTAATTGTTTCAATAAGGTAATGAATTTCTATTCTATATATATATATATATATATATATATATATATAAAATATATTTTAAATAGAAATATAGTAAAAAGAAAGACAGGAAAAAGAAAAAATAAAAATTCCTGAAGAATTGAATTATTTGGATTAAAATTTGAATTATTTTTTAATCTCTCTCTTTTTATTTATTATATTTGTATTATATTAACTAATTTGATTAAGTAATTTGATATAATATTAATATTTTAAATATGTAGTAAATTTAATGTAATACACGTTATGTATCAATTATAACATCGTATAATAATGATAAACATTATGCAACATATTAAAATACTCATATTCGAGATTCGTTTTGGACATCGTACTACTTCGCATCACTTTTCAATCAGCGAAGAATGTTAAAACCCGAAGTGTTAAGAAACGAATTCTTAGCATATATACGAAAGCGCTTCGGGCAAGCGCGCGCAGATCCTGTTTTTTAATCACTACATCCATATTTGTTTATCTCCGGACTTTAACAGAATACGAAGCTGTCGAATAAATCCACAAATCTTACTTTCACTGAATTTTATTCAGATATGAGAGTTATTTTACTAATTTTATGATACTTCCATCATGATATTGCCATCAAACGCGCGCGCGCGTAATATTTTCATATCGCTATTACCGTATACTTTTTCACGCAATTCCGCGAGGCCGTAAAGCATCGCCAAAGTCCGTAAACCCGATCTTTACATTACCGAGGCGTAACGTCCGCCTTTATCGCGATTTGTAAAGTTGAAGTGTTACGAGGAGCGTACAGAGAAGGGTCCGGCAATAAGAGCAAAGTCGCGTCGGTCGTAAACTCATGCGAACCTTTAACGTAGCCCCAGACATTGAGTCTCTTTCTATTGGCTGCACGACGCTCCTCGCAATGACGTAACGCGGATGAGGCGCTAATCCACGGCATCGTAAAAGGCCGCTTCGTTCCCCGATTGAAAAATTAATTATAGTAAATAAAACTAAACGAAACGGGCCGTAAACTCAATGAAATTTAAATTGGAAGCGCACAGCTGTGTCTTTTATCGCTAAGATCGAAATCGCATCGTGTTCCCCTTATTTTATTGTCCAAGATATGCTACGCTTACTTATTTATATCAATATTTGTAATTCATAATAAGCTAATAAATGTTAGAAACAATAACTGTCGCTAACAGCTACAATAAATGTTGGCTTAACAATTAAAATCACTAAAAGTTAATAGTAAAGTGAAAGGTGAGTAAAGAGTTTAGATTATCGGAATAGAATAATGATCAATATGATTATATTTCTCAGATAAAAAATTATCTAACGAGTATTTACTTAAAAAAGAAACATAACTCGTAATATACTTACATATGACATACTCGTAACATATTTGTATGTATATGACATCACAGATGTAAATTGAAAGTAAAAGAAGAATGTTCATATCGCAATAATAATAATAATAATAATAATAATAATAATAAATGTGTCTCTAAATATAATGACTGTAAATATATAATTAAAAAATCTTAATCCCGCGTGCGTGATTTGATTGATAGTTGTATCATTTTTTATAGTATAAGATTATTAATAGCTGTGAGGCTAGAAGGATTCTTGGATTTGTTCTGTCATAATAAAACTAAACTTTACTTAAAATTTTGTGTTGATACGTCATCATGTAGCTGACGGTTCTTAATACGCTTGACTGGCTGTTCTCGTTGTCACGCTTGTATTTATTTCTGGTCCCGCGCGACTCACGGTAGCGTTAAGATGAATACTCGATGATGGATACTCGCAAGGGACGACAACCAACATATAACTTACAACCTAAATACTTATCTAAGAGCAACTTTATGGAACTTTCTCTCTTTCCACAAATATTTGTTCGTCGTAGCATGCTAAGCCATTATATTCCGAAATATTTCGTTTTAATGAGAGAAAAATAAAAAACTAATATCTTATTCTTTCTATAAAGAGAGACTAGTATAACTTAAACTTTTTACTAAAATTTTTACCGAGATTAATCAGTTGCTCAATAACAGGATATAGTATAATTGCGTCATAAAAAGAATATAAAATATCAAGCCAAAAGGCGTGTTTTAACTCTGTATTATGGTTATAATTTTAGAATTAGCAGTTCCCAGAAAAAGTCTACGAGTCTACGAGATTTTTAGCAGCGGAGTATTTTTAAACGCGTATAATGCACTATAATGCAATTAATGCTTCAGAGTTTGTCTTTTGTATAAATTATGTTTCCAAGGTAAAGATAGAAGGGGAAAAGACGCATTGTCTTTACTGTCCCAACTTCTCTAAGAAAGTTCCCGAGTCCCTCTATAGCTCGTGTTAGTAGCGCATGTTCCGCGTAGAGAAATATCTGCGAGTGCCCTACGAGGATATAAATGAGCAGGCAGGAGTCGACAAATCAAGAAACTATCGACATAAATAAATTGTGGCTCGCCAGGGGCCTGGCAAGGCATCGATTTGGATGTAAGTCTATGAGGGAAATGGCAGGCCCTAAGTCAGCAATTATCCACGTTTCCACCGTCCCACTGCTATTATTTCTACGTTCTGTTCTCGCTCTCCTGTTACAACATAGGCAACGTAATACACTGTGTTTCAAATATTAAATGTTGGAGATTGTGTGACGTTGTTTAAATCATAATAAAAAAGAAATCGTGTATTAATATATATTAATTATATATGTAGATTGTCTTTTCCAGACAAAGCAATTTTACAACTTGCTCAAGTCATTATATCAAACTTTTTTGTCTTTTTAAAAAGAAATATGAAATGGATATGTTGTAACGCATAATAATGGCTAGCCTTCGCTATTAGTCTTATATTTATTTATATCCTTGTTTTTTTTTCGAATTCTCTAATCAAAGAATAATAAAATCTTTTTTTATAAGCTTTTATATGCATATATGAAAATAAAAAAATATACAACTGCATCGAGACAATTTTATTGTTGTTTGAAGAATTCTCAAAGAATTCGATACGATGTATCACGTTTCTGGTGATAAATAATTATTCACGATAGAACAGCTCGACAATGTGTACACGTAGTCGTAAAAACGTTTGTGCCGTTCATCGTAAGTCTCTTTTTTCTCTGTTCCTCGGCAATTATTTACCGTTCATTGTCAGTTCCAGCAACGTAAAGGTAGCTGCCTTTCCGTGATTCGATCTAAATCTCAATTTTGGAGCATCCTATATATGTAGGGTCGGTCCTTACACCCCCGCGCCAACTCATTCCGTCGCTCTCTCTCTCTTACGCGCCTTTCTCTCCCTTTCTTCCTCTTCCTCTTTCTCCCCTTCAACCCCCCACGTTCATCCAGTGAATTACTTCGTTAGTGGCTACCTTCAGAGGGCTGTTAATTCCTGCAGGGCAGATTATACAGATAGGTTTATTGCGCTCGTGTCCCAATCTAATGTCTGTAATGCTCCTATACCGACTACACACTCTCCCTCCCTCATGCTATTCCTTTCCAGCTTTGTGCTGTCGCTATTTTCACCGTCTCTTTCTCTGGTTGCTTATTTTTCACATCTTGAATGTCTACATAAAACGTTGATTTTTCAGACAACTTGATGCAGTTTGGTGCAAATATTACTCGAAATGATAAGATAATCCATTCGAGAATCTTTAACAGCTTGAGTAACATATTGTATGGATTCATCTAGAAAAAAAAGACTTTAGTAGGTCTCCACATGCTTAACGCAGAATGTCGAGAAAAGTATTTCAGTTTTTATCCTAAATTTTTTCAGACAAAATTTAAAATGGCATTACATATAAATATTGTGGAAAACACGTTGCGCCGATTGATAAACAATAATCGTTTATTAGCATTAAAGTTAAAGTTATTTAAGGTTACTTTTTCTAATTTATTAATTCTTCAATTATTATTGTAAATATGATGTCCTGGGAAATTGTACCGATTGCCAGATTTTCTTCGACGTTCGGGCATATGTCCCCTTCGTCCGTAAGTGCACTTCTTCCTCATGGGTGAGTGAACGCGTTAGCTCCCAAAATTTTGGTAACGAGTTTAGCATTACGTCTACCTCGGTCTGGACGGCCGGCTACAGTCCGAGGGTGTCTGATTTTAATGGCGCGGACTCTAACCTAATGGTCCGCCGATTGTCCGAGCCCATTTAAGTCCACGCCAGACGAGTTAGTTGGTTTCGAAATAATGGCACACCGTCGGACTTACGGGATGGAGACGGCCCCGAATTTGTCATGACTGGACACTGGGCGCTCGCGCGCGAACGATAATTTCGGAGAATAATTAGACGTGCGTTGCGGGCACACACGGAACGCACGTGCCAAGAATATTAATAACACGCTCTCAATTAGGCGGAGTTAAACTCCCGGATTAAATGGTGGAGAAGTTGTCACTTGATAGAAATTAACGGCTGAATCCGGATACAAGGGACACCAATAATAACTATAGTTGAACGATTTTTCCGAGCAAATTGTATTCTCGGACTGCCACGTACCTGACTCACCGTGATTATTTCTGACTATGAGCTTATATATCATGCTGCAATTCCTTTGTTTGCACATGGCTTATAATATATGGATGGCCGATTTGGTGCAAGAACGAATGCCAAGAATAATCCTTCCGATGTCAGAGGGAGTAATGCTCCCGAGATCCTTCTATTGAATTTATTTTTCCATGACTAATAATCTTTATGTTCATTTATATTGCATTTTTTATTACTTATATATCTTAATTTAAAAGATGATGATTAACTCATTTGAGATTAATACGTATTATGATTTATGACCTTCACTTGAGATTAAAATGTATTATGATTAATGATTTCTTTATGGAGGTTTATTCTCTCTCTTTATAGCAGAAGGATTCAAATCGATATTTGATGGATTCGACGAAAGTATACGATTTAAAGAGCAGAAAATTATAAAACTATCGAAAGGCAGACCTACAACTTTGTGTGAACACATAGAATGTCTAATAGCGACTCGATGACAATCAATTTTTAAGGAACGAATGAATTTCCTCCGGGGAAGTTTTTTTTCTCCACGCTCCTTCCTCGCTCATTATTACAATAGAGTCTTTCACAAGGACACGATATCCAAGAGCACAGCAAAATAGCTTTTCATCTCCGCCCGGTGGAGGGCAATCGTCTCCTCCCTCCTCATCGTCATTCTTCCCCGTCCACCTCGTCAGTTTACATAGCGGCGCCGCTATAATTACGCTTAGTTTTAATTAACTTCTCTTGAATTTAAACATTTATTTCCGAGGATGAGTGGAGAATGGCGGGTTTTCCTTGCAAAGTTGGGGTTGAAGATTGGATATGCTGCAGGAAACGTAGGAAAGCAACGTCTTTGTCCGAATACGTTGCGCAATAAAAACTGATGCTGATTTTATCAATAGCTATAAAAGTTTCAGTATCGATTACTTTGTATTTGTCGACATTCTCAAACATACATTTGTCCAATATTTTTAGGAAATATTGAAAGCAGTGAATATATAAAATATTTATTTTATGTATTGTTATCGATACACCTTTCATAGCATCGGCAGTGAAGCATAAAGCAGGTATTATGACGTGGCATATCTAGCGAGAAGACTTTCATTATTGCCGTAAATTTATAATTAATTTTCGTGACGGTACACTAGTTTCGGGGACGCATAACTGTCTTAAAATTGTTCCGCTCCAATGAATCGATCTTTTATACGTAGCAATCATTCCATCGCGATCCGAATTTTAAATAAAACCGGATAAAAAATTGAGGACACAGTGTGTTTTATGATGTTACGTATTAAAAGTGAATAGTTCTGTAGTTTTGAACTATCTTTAGATTTAATATTATAATGTCAACGTTATTATCTTACTCTTTCGAGCAGATTCCAGTTTAAATTTTCGGACCCTCGAGAAAGATTCTAAACGTCTCGCGTATAAAATATATGTAGAAAGCTTCTTTCTCTCTTCTGTTTAAAACATTCTTAAATGCCGTCTTCATACAATAATTGTGGCATTAATTTTTAATTATATAACATTTTTTCTCATATTTTCTATGTTTTTATTTTTTTTTTGATGTAAATAAAAGAATCAGTATTTTCATTTAATCACTTTTAATTAATGTACTAAAACTCTTTGTATATAATTATAAAAATAGTAAACCTATTTGATTTTCAGTTTCGTTGCGTCACAAAATAGTTACAACAAGAATGATTTATGCATACATGTATATTTACTCTCTAATGAACTAACTATTATGCTCATTTGTTGATAATGCTCACGTTATTTATGATTGCAGATTATATCGGAAGAATATTTCTGTCTTAAAACGCGAGAAAGAGAGAGAGAGAGAGAGAGAGAGAGAGAGAGAGAGAGAGAGAGAGAGAGAGAGAGAGAGAGGAGAGGAGAGAAGGAGAGAGAGGTCTCATCACACAACCATGATGCGGGCGAGGGGAAACCAACTGCCCGAAGCGTATAATGGCGTAGATTACTAATTACGATTATTGGCTAATGAGGGTACGATCGATTTCTCCTTATCCTAACTCAAACAACGTCTTCCCTTGGCTTTAGGGCTGTGTTCAAGACCGCGGTCTCCTAATTGCATTATACATGTCAACATCCCGAGGTGCTTCCCTCCTATTGGACCATCTTAACGTTGATTCACATTATCCGATACAGACTGATGCAATCCGATATCGACGAATAATAACAAAATCGAACAGACAGAATATTATTACATGTATTCAAAAGAATTGTCCGCACTATTGTTGAATTATCCACATGTGTTGTACTTATCGTCATTAATTGTCAAATTTTCGCATTTTCTTTAGTGCGTGTTCACATCCGTGTCCTTTTGTCTTTTAAACTATATTGACTAGTAAATAATATTAACCCTTTTCGTACAAACGGAGGTATTGCAAGTTCGATTAATCTTTATTCGTGAAAATTTTTTACTTCCAAAGCTCTTTATCCCCTCCTAAAAAAATTTTCATAGTAGGAGAGATCTTGAAGTGGTAGGGCGACTACCAGTCTCTCTGCGAACAGCACTGAATTAATTTCTGTGTCGGACTTCAAATTTATCTGTTTCAACGTCGAGTTTTTGTAAAAAAATAAAAATTTTGCAAAATCTTTGACTGTAAAAGAAAATTTGCTGAAGGAGCTGGAATTAACTTCATTGGCTTACGAAGTATTTTGAAGAATGAACAAAGCGTTGGCACATGTGCAAAAAAAATGTTAAAGTAAAAGACGTTAAATTGTGCGTGCGAAGCGCGCGTCTGTAATACTAGTATTATTTCATATTATATTGTATATTTTACATTATATTTTATTTTATGTTGTATTTTGTCGTGTACACTACATATTTTGATTTCATTACTTATAACAAAAATTTATGCCTAATATTAATCTTATATAATTTTTTTTTTTAGGTAAGTCAATTATACAAGTTCTCTCTCATCTCTCGATCATCTACAACACAAAACCCATAACGACATTCTTTATTAGTTCTTTCTTTATACTCCTCGGAATCGTGTAAAGATAACACAAAATGTAAAAATTTCAGATATGGTTGGCTAGGGATCAGGCAGATCCTTAAGTTATGGGCTCTACGAACAAGACGTTTTTCTTTTGTCTATCGCGACTGCTCAGAGAAATGCAACCGAGAGATAAGGTTCGTTAGTGGGCGAAAGGTTAAAAATAAGGCGAGGTTGAGAGAGCAGGCCGTCATAAATCTGCGTATCCCTAGTGAAAACCCGGCTTGCACTCTAAAAACAGGGACACATTCTCGATGGCATTTTGGCCGTAAGGAGTTAGGTATTCGTTCAACGGATGATCCAGGAGGCTTTCCGACCTGGCATATTTATACGGAAAGGTGGACAATTTCTTCGGAAGATTACTCTTTCCGACATTTAAACCAGAAACAGATGTCAGTTATAGTGTATGCGATTCCACTTTTCGTGACCTTTTTAAAAAACAAAAAATGTCAATTTCACAAAAATGTATCGAATGTTACATATAGAGTTCAGAGAATTTTTTTCTAATTATATTCTGTCGAGAATATTGCAAAAAACAATTTTAATTACAATCTAATAAAGAAAAAGAACAAAAGAGTTTCATCATCGTTGTATATTCATTGCAAAATTTTTTGAGCCATAAGAATTTTTATCTTTTTCTGTTTTATACCTAGAAATATGAATATCCGCGAAGTTTTATTCTTCGCGTATTAATTACACCTTGGAAACAACTTAAAGAGCGATGATTTTTTTTACACCAAATAACTCTTAACATGGAGTGCGCGATGGTATATGCGAGACGAAGGCGAGCCCGACGGAGCGACGGAGAGAGAATCAATCCGGCAAACGAGGGAGGAGGAGACAAGGAGAACGGGAAAAGACAGTGTACCTACACGCAAGTCTTATTTATGCGCACCGGCCGGCGACCTCGGATAAGAGTTTAACGCCGCGACATTATTTATTTCGCCTGTGTGCACATGCGCGCGCGCGCGCGCGCACGCTCTCGCGCGTTTTTTTCAAACTTCCCGTGAAAATGATACCTTCGCGATGAATATAAAACGCACGCCCACGCCCGGGCGACATACCGACACTGGTACCACCGGACGCCCTAACGCCTCGGATATTATACGAGGCCCCGCGTTCGCACGCAAACACGCATCCGCGGGTGTGCTGTTGCACATGCACGCGACACGCGGAACGACCGAGGAAACGCGGTCTCGCACACCTGTACAGGTGCCACAATCGTCTCCATCCAACACCCCTCGAGATCGCAGAATTCCGCTAGCGAGAATATCCGGATGTGTGAATTTTGAAAATATATAAACCTGTCTCCGATAAGCTTGTTACGACAGACGATGCGCACAAGCAAAACCAAGCGTGCAATGAAAATTTCGAATAACTTTTGTAAAGTATACTTAATATCGTTCTCAATCACTGCTACAATCGCGCCATAAGTAAATGTATCACGCAAGAGGTGTTGATAGTAATAAATTTCATCTACAGCTCCGTTAATTGCCGTGCTTAAACATTTATCTCGAGGAATGAGGTGCGTCTTTAATTAATGAACAATTATAGCAAACAAAAAAGGAATTTCATTAGCGACATAATCTATCGGTACTCGCAGTCCATCGTCAGATCGTTAGATTGCTGGAGTTTTGCCTCGTTTTTTTTCAGAATTTACAACTCGTTCGCTATTTTTCCTGTCGTGCTGTTTCATTTGTTCGTTGCGCTCTCTCCTCTGCGATCCTCTATCTTCTTTTTTCTCTCTCTCTCTCTCTCTCTCTCTCTCTCTTTCTGCAGCGAGTGCAAAGCGGTCGTGGTGCGCGGACGGGCCGAGTGGCGAAGCAGATCGAGCGATTACGCGTACCGAAGTGCTCCCCAACGCCTCCAATAAAATGCATATAATTGCACGGATGCGTTCAAACGCCAGGAATAATATCGTACGGCCGCGGAGATACGATCCAGTCGACATATTTATTTTCGGGGTACGAGGGAACGGCGAACGCGCGGGGTGACGCGA